CCCATCCAAACTTTAAACCAGAAACAGCCCCAAGGTGCTCTTCTCTGATTCTCCTCGTACTTCTGCTCAGCTTCTTGTTCAGCCTTTTGGCGTTCCTCTGGGCTAGCATCTTCTCCAACAACGACTATACCCATTGCTGCTGCTTTCTCCTGCTCCTTCAGCATCTTTTCCTTCGTGTAAGGCCACCTTAGAACCTTGAGGTAGCCAAATTCCTTCCAGCCTCGCTCTCCATAGATGGCTTTGCAGTAGCAAGTGCCCTCTTCGGCATCAGGGTCTTGCGCATGTTTTCCAAGGCCATCTTCCGGGGTGCACAGAAAAAACGCAGCCAACGCTGCCGTCATGATGCTCTTTGATGAGTGCGTCCCATCCGGATGGATACTTCCCAGGAAAGGAGATGACGCATCTTGCTGCGCCTTCTCGAATGTTTCCATGGTATGTGATGTCGCCAGTATCAGCTGTCACAGCTGGACGATCTTTCAAAGTAATATGCAAGGTGTCGAGCACTGCAAAAGTCTTTCTCTGATAGGAGGTTTGCCAATGTGAGGCTTGTTCCTGGGGCGGTCCAGAGTTGACTCTAGCTGGCTATCCTGACCCTTCAGGTACATCTACCGGTCAAGGGTGGTTAGAAAATACTTCCTGGTGTGTAAGACCATATTACAACCAGGCTAAGGATAGATTCTGTGCCAATGAGCCCTTCGTTTGAAGAACTTAAACAAAAGTGCGTGAAATGCAATCTGCTTCTGTCTCTTTCACTTCGGAACTTTCCACTCATGTCCTCATGCACCTTCTGGTCAGCAGAGGGAAGCTCCCTGCGAAAGCTCGCGGCTGAAAAAACATAAGGGCATCCGAAACCGGCGGTGGACGCTTCAAGAGTTTCGAGCGCAAAGGAATTAGGATTGTTCCTATTCCTAGTGCAACAAAATACAAAATCCTATGCTACTTTGGACCAGCAAGTTTCAGGGTCGGGCAAAGATCCAAAACCATTTGGGGTCTCACCTTCCAACGTGCACCAGGAAAGCTGCGACCATCTAACAACCTTGCAGCTCCTTCCTACCAAAATCAGCTCAGCTGGACCTGTTGCTTCTCTAACAGAAGGCTTCCGAAGGTTTCTGTATTCTTCTATACACACAAAGCTGATCTACTGTATGGTTGAATATAAATGTGATCTTTGAGAAAATACATATATAATATGCTATATAGTGGTTGTTGCTCAGACTCGTTCAGACTCGGTTCTTTCATGTTCAAACTCGTTGTACCGTTGAACAATCCAAAATCCATACCTCCCCCGCTTCGCTCCCATGTGGCGAAGCTCCGCCTCTCGCTCCTTTCGGCGGCCGAAGTTCGAAGACGGGAGCCTCGGGCTTAGCTGGGGTGAACCAATCCCAAAGGGCGCTTAGACAGAGAGTGCTTAAAGGCTTAGACCGTCCTTGAAAGAGAGACCAGTCTGAGTAATTTATTCTACAAGGCCGAAGGTATTCTTTCTACAATTTTAACTCTGTATAGATAGATGAGGCGAAGACAAAAATGACAAAAAGTGCCACTGGGGAACCAGTCTCGGTATTTCCCCTGTCTCCGTTCTCCCGTTAGTTGGATGCCATTCAGCTCACCTTTCTGGGGCTTCCCACCGACTAATTGTGCCTGGGCCACCGAGGCGAGCCCCGCCGCACCGCGCGCCCCGCGCCGCGCGCCGCGGTAAGCCGCGCACGCCGAGCACGCGGAAGACGCCCGACGTGGAGGAGCCGACTCGTGGAGACCGAACGCCCGACGAAGGTGGAGAAAAAAACGGAGACGAATCGGAAGACCCACTTCGGTTGAACCGAAGACATGAGAGATCGGAACTCGACCGTGGAACAATCGAAATGAAATAGATGGTCTTTGGGTCCCTGAGAAATCGGATGACCGTGGAACATGCAGACCAAGGAGAAAGGAGATGAAAGGAATTTAGTGCTCCATCCACTTCGGTTTCAGGGAGTGGATGGAAGTTTGCAAGATCCCATGCTGACCCTCTTCCATGAGTTATTTGCAGCTCATGCGCGGCCTGCACGTTGCCTGACGACGCTTCATCTGGGCTGCTCAGCGGATGCACAGTCGCCTTGGATGTCGCTTTGTTTTGGCGAGAAGAGATGCAGAACTATGACTGCTGATATGCGGCTGTTTAAGAAAGAAGAGCATACATGTGGTGCGGCTCAGATCAAAAGAACAGCCAAAAAAAGGTTTGCCCAAGGGATGTCATGTGGTGTGGCTATTTGAGTATTTCTTCAGAAAGCAACCATATGCCACGTACGTCTTCACTTCTACTCTGCAAACAAAAAGTTTGTCACCACAATCTGTTTTTTGATCAGGAGAAATCCTAACTGCTGAAAGATGTTGTAATTCCCCATGTAGTGGGATAGAAGGTTTTACTAAATCGATCTAAACGCTGTCCTGATCTAGGCCTCCTACAATGAGGCAACATAAATGAGATCACCCCAAAAAAAATACACAGAAACTCTGGGCTGCAGCTCTAGCGCCCAAGGTAACAAAGGGAGGCATTAGATTAGAATTGATACAACTGCAAATGAGAATAGACCACATCCCAGTCGAAGTCGAAGCCATCCATCCCTGGCCTTTGAACTGTAGCATCCCATGAGTCGGCAAATGGCTCGTTTGAGCCTCAAACGGCTCTGTGGAGCGCTCACCGTCGAATCGTGTCCTGAGGAGGAGTCAAACAGGATCAATCATCTGGATGGAGGGGGAAAGCGCTCAAAGAATAACTATTCTTAAATCCAGCTCAAAAACGCTTTATATATTGTTTTGATCTCACGCAGCTGCAGCCACGAAATGATATTTCATGTCAGTCTTGCTTGCTTGTTCAAACGCGTCATTGTCTTATTAGATCTTATTAGCACTTTGCTGTGCAAACAGCATGTCTTCAGGGCACATGTTTCTTGATGTTTCTTTTTGACCCCAAGACCGAGTGGAAGAACCCCCAAGGCGAACTAAGGCCCCCGGCCACCAGGACAAAAAAACAACCACCAGTTGCTTCGTGCTCGTGGTGTCCTGCCATCCATCAAGACATCCGGACTTCGAGTCCATGAGACTCTGGCAAAGACCCTCGCTGTCTTCAGTCATTTTCACTCCGTTCACCGTGAACCCGTCATCCCAACGCGACTCTGTGCGGCGAAAATCGCGACGAGGTTCCACAGAGGACGTCCGTCTTCTAAATCGCCGTTGTTTTCGACGAAGGGCCAGGTCGCGAAAAGAATATTTAAGGCCTACTGCCTGCAGAG